AGTCCTAATGACTGCGAAAAACAACCACACACCTCCTCGGCACCGGTTCTGTGAAAGACTCGTGAAGATGAAAAACCACTAGAGTATGGTAGGTTAATTTTCATTTTTGACTCTTTTATCGCTTGATGCGTTGTATGCTGATGTTATTTGCGCGATATAAAGCCAGGTTTAAGTTTCCGTAAGAATATCTCAGTTTCCCGAGTGGAGCTGTATTAACCGGTGCCGCTGGCAGAGGCAGACCAGCGGGGAGATGAGAGTCACAGAGGTACGTTAAAACACATGTATACACTTTTCTTCATCGTCTTGTATGAATTATTTTAATGTTACTTGCTCACTTTCCTAGTAAAGCTGTGCTAACCAGTATTTTCCTCCCGCAGTGCGCTGGCAGACCGGCGGGGAGACTCGTGAAGACGAAATAAAGCAGCAGTAAGAGAACATTCAATTTTTAGGTCAACTTTAAAACACATGTAATCACCTTATTTGTTTTATACCAATGCTATCAGTAAGGTATAAATGCGTTTGGGTGAATACATGTCTGTAAGAACATCAGATGGACTGTATTTGTGTCATTTTGTTAGGTTAATGCTTCAGCTACAGATGATGTGTTGGGCAATTGTTAATTGGGTTTCTTTCTTTAGTAATGGCATTCATTCTCGCTACATAAGATACCTGTCTGTTATGTAGTGCCCTGTTATACTGCGTTACTGTGTAATATTTATGGTTTCTATAGCCGTGGCATCATTATGATGGTATGAAGAGATGGATTAATTCATGTAGGACGCCACTGAAGGCCTAGGTGTAAAATGCACGGCCCGCCACTGGTATTTTGTGACCTCACCTTTGAACTCTGCTCCTCTGCAGCTTTCAGCCTCGTTCTAAAGCTCTCCTCCAATCTCTCCAATTCTCCCACATGAGTTCTCCTCAGCTCCTCCCTATGAAAAGAAAGTCTACAGTAAATACACCAACAGAAGACTATATAAGTCAACTCAACATATTGGATAACATAAATACATAAGTGAATGCTTTAACGTCATTGAGCAAATTATCAAACGTAATGTAAAACGTAAGCATCATTATCAAAATCTTGACTCATGGCGTCATACCTGCCAGGACACGAGTTTTCTAAAACCACTATATGATTGATCTGTTCAATATTACAGATAACACAGAGGATAAATATTAGGCCATTGGGACATACTGTAAGTTTTCTTAACTGTACATTTCAAAGAGTCACAGTGACACATTTACTGACGCATTTATGAGCAAGAACATTTTATGATCCAGTTGTTATGGAAACATAATTGTTATTTTTGTTAATTGTCATGCCATAAAACATTTATTGATTTAAAACTATAACTAATGTCAGTCTGCAGCCTCAGGGCTAAAGAGAAATTACAAAGGAAATGAGAAGGGGCCCTGAATCACAGTCAACAAAGTCAGGCAGTAATGAGTAATTCACAAGAACTATTAATCCTAGCTGAAGACATATACTAATACACCATTCATAGTAAACATAAGCTGTCAAGTAGGTGGCAGACAGAAAAAAAAGTTCTGCTTCTTGCTAAAACTGTGGCAAGACTGAGTATCTTTTTTTTTTTTTTGGTAAATTGTTATCTATTAGCTTTGATAGAAATATTTTAATCAGTAAGAAGAGATAAAATATACTACTAAAATATAATACTACTATGTAAATGTTTGGGGTTAGTAAGATTTTTATTTTAAAGAAAGGGATACTTTTATTTAGCAAGGATACATGAAATTGATCAAAAGTAACAATAGAGACTTTTACATTATGAATGATTTCATTATGAAATGCTGTTTTTTTTTTTTATCTTTTGAACTTTCTATTCATCAAAGCATCCTGCAAAAATAAACGAATAAATAAATAAAAATCACAGTTTCCACAAAAATATTAAGCGGCACAATTGTTTTTGGCACTGATAATAACCAATTATGTTTCTTGAGCAGCAAATCAGCATATTAGAATGATTTCTGAAGGATTATGTCACACTGAAGTCTGGAGTGACTGGAATGACTGCTGAAAATTCAGCTTTTAAAGGGGTCCTATTATGCTCTTTTACAAAGTCTTGATTTTGTTTTGGGGGTGTACTAGAACAGGCTCTCATACTAGGTTGTTCGAAAAACACATTATTTTTCACATATTTTACATTATTACAACACCTCTCTCCATTTTTTTATTTTTTTACAATATTTTATGTATTTTTAGAATTCTTCAAAAACATTTTAAAAATCTTACTTACCCCGAACTTTAAAACAGTATGTATGAATAAAATGTAAGATAAAAAAGTATTTGTTTTAAAGATACATTCTCTAAATAATTAATATGCATACATGCAGTAGACATGGCTAACAGACAAACCTTCCAAGAGTGTTCTCTCTTCTTGTTTGTCATCACTTTTAAACTGTGATTATGGTTTGACTCATCAAAACCTACTTCTTGTTGTCGAAATCTAAACAAAAGCCTTTGAAAAGCTCTTCTGCTATTAGCCGAGACAGACAGCGAGGATATGAAAAATGCTGGTGACTAGACAGACAGACAGCTTGGCAGAAATTCCATTTTTACTGCACATTCCTCTGTGGCTCAAACATTCCTCCCATGAGACATAAACTGTGACTTCGTAGACAGACTACTTCCATCACGGATTGGTGAAGACTGAGACACTCACAAAAACAAACAAACAGCTCAGGAGAAACATCAGAGTCCAAACAGACCGATTGAATCAGATCGCCACATACCAGCATTCCTACATCCACCTATCCTGACCTAACCTCTCTTAGTTAAAATGTGCGTCTTGAATAAGATATTCAGAACATTTCAGACCTTAAATGAGCATAATAGGCTAAAATTAACTTAGATACACCCTAGTATGTGTTAATGGAGGTCGCCGTAATTCCCCTGAGAGAGAGGAAGTCACACAGAGAGGAAAATAGAGTGAGCGAGCAAAAGATTCCAGGCGTAATCTTTTTTTTTCCACCCAAAGAGAGAGGGAACGTTTCATCTTGCCGGTCTAGGGGTTTACGTGCCGTGAGGCGGCATACTATTAATGTTAGATAGGTTGGGGACTGACAGACACGCAGCTCTCTGACAGCAGTTATGTGATGGGTCTCGAGAGAGTTGGCCTATAATGGGGATGTCTGGAGGAAGTGGCTCTCAGAAATACAAGTGTTAAATAGACCCAGTCTGGAATGTCCACACTTCACTGAACTTGTGTAATCAAATCAATGGGAAATTATCAGAGTGGCAGATAGAAAGCAAATGCTCTGAAAATGGAAGAAGTTGGAGGGGAGGAGAAAAAACACATGCCAAAAAAGTTCTGAGAGAAGTCTAGTGTAACTGGGATTTTCAACACAGCTTTGAGGTTGAGGTCACAGACACTAAATATGTAACCGCTCACAGGTATGAGACTGAATGGGAACAAAAAAAATAAAAAATAAGTGACAGGATAAAAAAAAGTGGCATAGTTATGAAAAATGGCATGTTGTAGTATCATATTTTCGTATCATGTCTTGTCATATCACAGTTTTATATTACAAAAACTGGTTGAAATATTCAGTGCTGTGCTCTTAATAATACATTTAATAACATTTTCATACAACAAAAAGAACGTCTCTAGGTTACGTATGTAACCATGGCTCCCCGAGGGAAGGAGACGCTGCGTCGAGATCGCTTTGGGAACGCCCCTGCGTGACCGCGTTCTGAA